AAAACCAAGCTAAGCTGCTGTAAATTTATAAGAAAAAATATTTCTCTGTTTCCAATAAGTAACCATTTTTGATGCAACAGTGTTACTTACTTTGGAGAAATTAGTGCTAATAAATGAGAACTAATTCAGGACACTGTGTTTGAGGTGCTGCCTTTTTATGTACATTGCTAAAGCTAAAATAATATTTGTTCCAGTGTTATTAGAGTTTATGCTAACCAAATGTAAATATTCACAACACAGAGTTTATGAAATTACTGAAGATTTAAGGCACTTTCTTAACTACAGGCATAAATCTCATTTTAATTTTGATAGCCTTTAAATTAAGTAGTTTAAGAGGTGAAAGTTATTAATTCAGTAAAAAGATGACTGCCTCTCTGGTTTTTTAGGAATTATTTTAGAGAAACTTCTGCAGTTCTGATCTCAGCTTTGAGTAATGGTGAGGCAAATACACCACAGAGTAGGAAAGTTTATACAATAGGCTGGTAGCTATGGATGTAGTTTTACTTCAGCATTCTGAGTCTGTTCCCTCTCTTCTGAAATACAGAAATACAGTAGGAGTTTGCCCTTTGGTTTCTATAGTTTTGCCTTCATTGTGAGAATGTCATTGAATTTAGCTCAAGTTCACTTAAAATTAGCTTATCCTGCCTGAACTGAGATTTGACCATTTTGTCTAGAGCTGTTGTAGGTTGATAACTTGAATAAATACATCAATATACAAAATATATTGTCGTTTGCAGAAGGCTTGGAGCTTTCCCTGATACTCTGGGCTGTTTTGCTGGCTGCTTTCCACCTGTTACCCAGCCATGGTGTGTTCTGGCCATCCAGCACTGAACCCCCAGTTCCTGCACCTGAGCTGGGCTTTACAGGTCAGGCTTGGCAGTGTGCTACTATTTTACAATCGATTCATTCTTGGCACAAAGTACAGGATGCACAAACAATTGTTTGGTTACAAAAGATTTTGAAAACAATCCATATTATAGACTGAATTTATGCAAGCATATTATCCTGCAGCTGAATTTAGAGAAAGAACCACCCAGTTTTACAACATGTTTGTTGTTATTACTGTTCAATCTAATAGTGATGATTTACAGCTGACAGAAGTCCAGAGGAAGGAAGATCAGTTTGAGATCTGAACCTCAGGTGATCTACTTGGTAATGATATACTTGTTCCACAAGATTCTCACTTGGCTGTGTTTTATATGCTCTTTGCAGAGGTATCAATGACCACAGAGTGTGTTAAATACTGATCACTCAGGCTTTGAAATGCAGTTCTCTTCACTAAACTGCCTTCAGGTTTTTAAAAATCCTTGAGGTGTATATCAATGTCCATTTTAAAGACTCCAAAAGTGACCTGCTCCATGAACTGGTTCTTGGCAGCATTAGCACCAGTGTATGGTTGAATAAGAAGAAAACACTGATCCAGAAGAATGCGCTTACAACAGGCACTGCAGCATCACCTGACTACCTCCTGGGTAATGTTAAATGTGAAATTCAGACAGGTAGAACGAAATTCATTAGCAGTTTATGATTCATCCTATGTAGTATTACAAAAGTTTTCCTACCAAAAAGTACTGCTAATTTATTTGCCAAAGAGAATGCAATGCTGCTCTGCGTGTTTTCCGTCTGTGGGTTGGTATCAAAACAGGACAAGTGCTAGCAGGTTTTTCTTATTTTTCTGGAAATTTTTATACTAAGGGACAATTAGAGATGAAAGTCCCCCTATTGATACCAACTTTAAATCTGTAAAGATCAGAGTTTCTGCAGTGTGTAATTTCCAAACAAACAAGTTGAAAGTGTGTGGCAGATTTGGGATAGCAGTAGGGATGCAATTGAAGAGAAACCTCTCTCTCCTTTTGTGCCAGGAAGAAATCTAGGTTTTTAATATGATAGCATATGACAGAATTTAAACTGTCACTAAGTGTGCTAATCTGGTACCTCTACTGTCTGTATGAACTTTAAAGATAACAGAAAAATGTTGTCTAATAAATAATTCTCATAGTGTGGTTACAGATTTGTTTTCACAGGCTGCGTGAGCATTAAATTTACAACTTTCTGCAGCATAGAATTGTTACAGTTGAAAAAGATCTTGAGCCATGACAAATCTTTATATGGAGAAAAAAGAAAAGCAAAAAAAAAACCCCAATATTTTCAGTTACTGAAACAGTTACTGCTGGCTTATGTGCTCAGCATTGCCATTTACTTATTCAAACACTTGTCTGCTTTGAAAACAGTCTGTGGTGGTGCTTTGAAGAGGAAAAGTCATCAGAGTAAGATTACAGAAGTTTATTTCCTCATTCCTGTCTGTGTGATAACTTGCTTTTAAAGCATATGTCCATAATGATGTAGTCTCATGATGTATTTGAAAAAGGCAGTAAGAGTTTAGCTTTCAAATATTTAGTGTAGTTAAATTGCCACAGGAAAAACTATGAATCCCTAAATCATCATTTTAAAAGTTAGGAATGGTTTTATTAATATTGTCTATGCAAATTGCTTTGTTGCCAAGAAGTTCTTTAGGAATGTGTAGGCACAAAGGCTGGGAATGGAAATGTTGGTTCAAGCAGTCATCCTTCTTTAGAAATGGTGCAAATCATAGTCTTGGATAACGTGGTTATTCCTACTGAACTTGATCCTGCATCTACATGAATACAGGATGTATCAAGGGCCATAACATACATTTTACAGAGCTATTATCATGGAATCACAGAGTCCAACCTTATGCTTTGTGTGTGTGTTAACTCCCCCTTCTCACACCAATTAAATAAATTTCTTAGAAAAACTACAGCTTAATCATGGTAAGCGAAAAAGTATTTTCACCTGTGGTTGAGTAAGCCTGATTGTTGTCTGATTCCAATAGTCATTAGAGGAAAAACTAGCATCCACTTTTTTCTAGTCACAATTATTATTCAATATGCTATTTTCTTTTTATTTAAAATATTCCTTTTTTTTCCATTGCTTTGAGTTTAATTACATCCAACTATCTATTGATTATGGATTGGAAATGTGCACAAATATGAGGGCAAATATAAGTCCAGTTATACTCCAAAGAAAGTTTCTGCTTTGTAAAGAGGGTCATTTGAACTAAATGCCAATGATACAGCTACAGCTGTGAGACTGGAGGTCATAATAGGTGAGGATTTAATTCTTTTAAATTAGACATTAAAGGATAATGAAAAATTATGAGTCACTTCTCCTTAACTTTGTTCCCAGTGGCTACATTTCTGACAATACCGGTGTGCAAATAGAGGCCTGCTAATGTGTGCACAGAAATGAACACAGACCTCAGGCTGAAATCCCAATGAAAATCAGAAAATTCAATTTTGCTGTTCAGGATTTATAAAAGATCTTTACTTATGGCTACAGCCCAGATAATTTTTTGCTCCTGAAGTTACAATAAAGGTATCAAGGTATATAGAATATAAAGGTATAAAGAAAAGCAAAATATACTAGTAAATCACAATTTTCTGCCTAAATCCGTATTGTTAATCTTTTTTTTTTTGAGAGAGAGGAAAAAAGAATCTATTCCCTACATATTAGAGTTTTACAGCAATTTTCTCACTTGTAATATATGAATTATTAACAGAGATATCCTCAGTTTAATACAGAAATAGCTTAGGAAATCATTCCTTGGAATTAATCTTGGGGCAAACTGCAAAACTCACGTTTCATGGCTTTTATACTGTGAGTAACATCCTGTACTTTAGAAGTAAAAACAACTGATTTCCAGCTTAACTGTCAAATTAAAACTCTTCTGATTCTTATGAGCAGGGTGATTTATTATAGATCAGCAAATTGTATTACTAATTTATCATAGATCAGCAAATTGTATTCTTCCCCAAATATACTAAATGGCAGACCAGACAGGCCATTTTTACAAATGCCCATTTCCTTCAAAAGAAATCTAGTGAAGATCACTATTGTGCAAAAATTTGCAGTTTCTAGAATAAAGGAAACATTCAGCTTGGAATATGGTGCACATTAGCTATATAAAAGCAGTTCCTGAATGTGCTGTCCTAGATCCATAAGACCTACTTTTGAAAATAGAAGGACTCTTTGCCTTAAAGTATAACCGTGAACTCTTGTCCTCTTTTTGAAACCACAGAAAGTCCTCTCCTGAAATAAACCATTAATGAATTGCATGTGTATTTTAAATGAAGAGAAATTTGTACTTCAATTTTTTTAGTGCCCCTACACCAAAATTCTCAAGTAGGAAAAAGTGGCTTCGGGTGTTACTGATGTCCAGATTCAAAGTATATCTAATACCACACTCTTGCACGTTCCCTGCCTTGGTTTACTTTTGGGAAAGTATCAAAAATTTGAATTTTGAATAGCAGGTATAAAAAAAAATATGTGCCATTTTTAGCAGAGTGGCTTTGAATCTGAATTCTGAAATGCACACAGAGAAAAAAATCTAGACAGGGAAAATAATGGTGTATTTTAACCTACAGAAACCTTCTAATTCTTTTGAATCCAAGATGAACTGCTAAAAGGAGAAATGTGGATTCTGTAACATGGAATCAGTGTGCTACATTAAGGGCATGTTGCTCATAATTTATTGTCCTTAATCACAAAAGGAAACCTCCTAAGGGTTTTAACCCTCTGCAGTTATCTGTGATTAGTAATTAATATCCTCCAGCTCCGAAGTTATCTAGAGCTGCCAATGCACTCGATGAATTTACTGTTTCTGCAGTTATAACGTGCACTCTGGAATGGCCTCCACAACCCTGGCTGTGTGTGGAATGCTCCTACAAATAACCCTGATGTTCAGTGTTCACACAGAGCTCTGGCACCTGTGCTCCCTGGGAAGTGACAGCTCACTAAAGGAACTGCCCTCAGAAAAGCTCCATCCATTGGCAACAGCATTGGATGTGGGATAACACCACCATTTGTGACAATAACCTCTAAAATACAACAGTGTGTGGAGAACATGACTGGCAATCAATCATTTAAAACACTTAAAAGATAATCTGATGTACTTTTTATGTCCCCTATAGGTCACTTACTTTGAGAAGTCTGAGTGTTTATAAACTTCTTTATCAAGGCGTCAGTAGTTTGTGTGTAAAGGCTCAGAGCGTATTTGAGGGACTGTAGGTCTGGGCTCTTTTCCAGGAAATTCTTTTTCAGCCCACTCCCTCCAGCATGGAAGTATTGCTGAAATGAGAAGCAAATATGGTTGTTCATAGAGGAAAGTTATCTGAGAAAGCCCTCAGTTGCAGACGTACAATTTTAAGTAAAATTCTTAAGCGAACTTTTAGAAATAACAGCAGGCATGTGTAGCTGGATTTATGACTAAAGCATTTGAGATAACTGTATTATCTCTGCTACAGAGCTTCTCTACCAGAGTAAAAAAAAATAAGTGTTGGGGGAAGAAAAAAATACAAGATTTTAATTTTGGTCCTCCAGATTGGAAGTACTTCTCTGCCAAAACTGGATAAATATTTGCAGCATTCCTTTAGGTTGCAGAGAGTGGAATCAGTTTAAATTCTTTATCTAAAAAAACCCCAAACACCAAACTTTCAAATCAAAGCATATTTACAAGCACAAGTGAAGAATATATTGCTTTTTGCCCCTAAGATGGGGCAGTTCTTCCCTCTACAAGCAGCTGCACTGGTGTAGAGGTCACTGCCAGCTGGGCAGCAAGGCCTAACAAGACAGCCCTGCTCCTTTTGCTGTCCCACTTGTCCCTTGAGTGGTCCCTCCTTCTTTCATTAAAAAAAAACCAAACAAACACATATATATATAGATAAATAGATATTAGCAGAAATACCTAAAAGAGAAAATGACTACTGATCTACTAGATTTGGAACAAAACATGTTTACCACTTTGATGCCATGCTGTAAACTATATTTATATAAAATATATGTAAACTGAATATAAAAACATATTATAGTCCCTTTTCAGTCCCAAAGCTGACTTCAGAAAATTTAGGACAGATTCTTCTCTTCTTCCTCCCTCAACGAAGAATTTTTCCTAAAATTTCAGGTGAGACAGTCATTGATGAATTAATGCACTTAAGCTCCAATGAAAAGATAAATGTGCTACATACACTCATTTTGTTCAAACACCTTGCAAAGCATTTTGCAATCTACCTTACAGCTCTAGGTCTCAAGATCAGTAAAGCTCCCGTTAACACCTAATTAGTAAAAACAAACAATGTTTTTCAGGAACACACTGTGACTACTTTATGACATGGTCCACTCTGTACAGGGAGTGCTGGGGACTGTAAACAGAATCTTCTGGCTGCCTTTTTGGAGTGTTGCCAGAGGAATATATGCAATATACAGTCTCTACATACATATATATCCACTAAATGCTGTATCCTAAACTTATGTGGACAGTGCAGACCCACAGTCCCTTTGTATTTAGTGTACACATTTCACCTTCTGATTCTCAAGATTTTGCAGGAGATGAAACATAAATGTACTTTTCATAACAGTTATTATTTACATTTCTGCGTTGAAGGATGCTGGTCATGATAGGGAAAAAAATATCTGTAGCAGCAAAACAGGATTTGAAATCATCAGGCTGCAAAGTTTTATATATTCTCTATCACTATGGGGGCACTTAGTGTCAGCTTAAATGGTTCTGACTAAATCACCTCTATCTTCTCATCATTGCATACTTACATAAAATTTATGTCTTTCCTAGCAAATTATTTCATACTATATATCCCAAAGAAATCTCTCGTCTTAATTGCTTAAAAGTGTAGTCATGATTTCACTAAGGATTATAATCAATTTATAAGCAAGTGTTAAAAGCTGTTAATATTTCTTGCTATTGTGACAATCACTGTGATTTTTTTAAAGTTCTGTCTCCCAGTAAAATGTTATCTGCAAATGGCTAAAAGCTCCATGAAAGCTAACAGATAATTAAAGAAACAAGGACACCTGACCCTTATCTTCCTGAGTTTTTTACATTGCTTTGCTTTTGCCCATAAATGGTAAACTTTGCAAGCAAAACCAGTGATGTGAACATATCATTACTGTATGGAACCAAATATAGAAAAATAACGAGTAAACAGGGTTTTACAGATTCAGCTGGATGGCTGATATCCTGCTCCTGAGAGATGGAAACCTCAAAATAATTCACCTGCTCCTCGTGTTCCTGTCTGAGGGGTTTCAAGGTTTGTAGGTGACACAAAAGGTTTGAAGGGCTCAGTGACAAATGAAAGGGGCAGATGTCAAGTATATGGAAATCAATGCAGGAGCCACTGCAGTCTCAGCCAAAACTTGACAAATGTCACACAAGCCCTTTTGGGTGTGGGTGTCACTCTGCAGAGAGCCTCTGGGTGCACAATGGAAACTAGGACAATATTATCAATATACATATTCTCTGGGCTGAGATAATGAGACAGCAGAGAGAATTCAGTTTGAGATAACTGAGGCCAGAAAGCCACTTCTCCTAATAGTAAATTGCAAATTAAGATAAAAAATTTATATATATATATATTGCTACAGTTCTTTTTACATAATATAAAACCTCATGATATGCTATATATATTTAAGACAAGAAAATGATTCCTTTATTTTATATTCTTTGAAGCCTTAATTACACCATCAACTATTAAATGATAATTGTTTCTCAGTGAATTAAATGAAAGGAAAAATAATAAAGTCTGCAAGTACAGACATACTCCTCCCTGCAATACCTTTCCTTACCGTAATCATGTACTTAATTTCTGAACACATACCATATGCCATTTTTACCATTCTTCTATTCTTATTTGGGCAGCCTTGTTTTTTTGCTTTTAAACAAACCATATTTACTTAGCATTACCAAAAACATTCTATATTTTGATCATTAAATTTATGAACTGCATTCCTAAATCAACAGAGCAGTCTTTTTTTCTTGAGGTAACTCACAAAGTTTGTCTTTCACTTCCTACCAGTGTATGCCTTATTTCTGCATAGTCAAGGTTATTTGCTTGGTATTTTGGAAAGCAAAGATTTTGCCATATCAGGTTCCAAGTACAGTAGACAGTTACAATGCCATGTCATTGCCTTACCATTTGAAAAGAGGTTTCTCAGAAAGCATTATTTAGCTCAGTTTATGAATGTAGCACACAGAGATAAGAATATTGAGTTAATAAAGGTTTTCCCCTATTTAACCATTCCCTCCTTTTCTGGACTTTTTCTTTAGTAAAATGATCAACACCTATCTCTGTCTCTTTAAGTGCTGGAAACTCAGGCAAGGTTAGAGTTTAGATTTTTCGCAACTTCCATGTGTTTAGAACAACGGAAAATAGATTCACATACTGAACAGAAGATTTCACATGGTTTAATTTGGGAGCATGCAGTACTTCAACATTTTGTTCCATTTATGTTTCCACAACATTAGTAATCCCCAAAGATTATTTTTATTTCTGAAAGAAATGCCAATTCCACTGCAAATCAAAAAAATGCAATTGGGCAGCCCTCTGATGCTTTTTTCTTGTCTTTTGAGACTCTATTTTGTTGCTCAAGACTTGATCCTAAGTATTTCCTCGTATTTATATCTTCAACTTTATACTTAGTAGCTGTCTCCTTACCTTCCTGATGTGCTGTCTCTTCACAGCAGACACAAAACCACGCTGTTATCTAGTAACTGATTGCTTTTAAGTTACACCAAGGAATGATACAGGCCAATGTGAGAAACACTGATAAATACATTAAATGATATTCCTTAATGGCTTCTTTTGACTTTAGAAACCCAATCTGTGAAGACTGCTTGAAAGTCTCTAGTTTTTTTTTAATCAAAAAAACTGTCAGTCATGTTCTTGGTCATTCCAGCACAGAAGAAAAAAACACATAAAGCTGTACCTTTATAGTAACCAATGCTACTTCCATTATTGCACATTGCCTCAGGGTCAGGCTTTTGGCTTCCTCTCGAATCACATGGTCCTGCAAAGCAAGTGAAGACTGCAATTGGTTTTGAAAGGAAACTATTGTGGCTTGGTCTTGGAAAAACAAATACACAAAAAAATCTGCCAAATGCCCTCCAAGGACATATGATTAACAGGCATTAATTCAACTTCAGATTTCTTTTACAAAAAATTATAACTTAGAGCAGTCTTGTTGTTTCTTAAAAATATGGACTGCAGGGGAAAAGATCCACTGTTTAATATGCTATCTGCATAGCTTTATATATTTTCCTAGGATGTGTTATTTCTCTGTTCTAGCGAGTAGGGGAGAGGTTAAAATTGAAGTTCAAATAATTAGATGATACAGAAATTATTACTCTTATTAATACACATGAGAGTTTAACTAATCTTTGTTAATGCCTCATGGTTTTTTTTAAAGAAGGGGCTCCTGTCAGAATACGTTAAAGAGTCATAAAGTGATGCACTCCTGTGAAATCTTTGTCTAATGTAAGCACCAGTGACTTATGTAACATTTTAACTCCTCTAGCAAACCAAACAATTATTCATAGAAGCACGAGTTGTCACATATCTGCACAAATCTGAAGTCCTAATGGCAAAATTAATTGGCAAACAACTGACATCAGTATCAAACATCTCAGCTCTCCATCAAGTGGACTCCAGCACTGTACTGCTGAAGAGTTTATTGCAGAGGTAAATACTATGTTTCAATGCACACCATAAATAGTGCACAGAAAGAAAATTAATAGCTTTCTCACCTTAGAGTTTTTTAGAACTGGTTCCAGGAGGTAACATAAAGATCTCATATTTTTTTTGGTGATGTTTCATACTTTTAAAGCCTAGTTTTGCAATATGGGAATGATATCTTCTTGACCCATCTAGTGATCACTTACCATATAAGTAATCAGTCATTTATTCATAATTGGGTTTTGATGAAACTGTAAAACCATCATTCACCTTCGAGTAGTTACTGCCATATTCAATCTTATTACAGTAAATAAGAATGAGGCCTGAGGTTTGGCCTCACAATCATTAATTATCCATCTATTTTTTTTCATTAGCTCAAGCCATTCACAGCTTCATCTGGCTCCATTACCTTGAGTTTTGACAGTTGTCCAAGATCTTTGGCTGCACTGAATATCATCTGGGGCCCCTGTAATCACATTGAAAATTAAGGAAACAGACTCACTACGGCGCATTTGCTTTTTATGTCAACATGATCTTATTGTCTGCCAGGACATCAGCCAAAAGTGTTTTGCAAAGGGTTTTGCAAAAACAGTGTTTTGCAAAGCTAAATAAAAGTTTCAATTACATGTGAGACACATTTTCCCTCAGCTGATAAGGCCAAGTAGTTGAATTCCTCAGCACGATTCCCTCCAGGATCCTGCACTTGAAACAAATATTGCACATTCTGCTGATAGTGGTTTCGTGTCCTCCTTTCTGCTATCTCATTTTGTGTTTAATATTTTAAGCTGAGGCTGTGATTGCTTTCACACAGGGTGTCAGTGAGATATTTGTGTATGACCACAGCTTTCAGGCATTATGCTAAAATAAACAATCATCCTGGGAAGTGAGCAGCCCCGAGGAACCTGCAGAAGCATGACTGCCTACAGTGAAATCTCAGTTGAATAACACTCAGAGGAAAGGTGGACTGTTAAGACAAAGCCTTTTTTTTAAAAAAAAAGAAAGCAATATTTTACAATAGCAAACTCCTGGCATGACACCAAAGGCTGATACCTACATTTTTGTCTCAGACACACAGAATCCTACTGTAATTCCATGCTCACATCTTTTATCACAGTTACTCCAAATAATATAATTATTAGCGCAGTTACTTGGCAGTTCTGCAAGACATAGTTCTGAATAACAGGATTTCAGAGAAAAAGGTTCATCCAACTTATGTTGGACTAATTTTTCATCAGTCTTTCTGTACCAATAGGTTTCAGTTTCCAGAAATAACCTTGCTTCTATATCCTTCAATTGAAGAAGATGTAATATAGAACTGCAGCTTAAATCTTCATTATTTATTTATTAGTGAGAATGGTAAGATAAATATGAAAATTAAAAAATAAACCCTGCTTCTGAATACCTGTGCCTCTCACCCTCAGATAGAAAGAAATCAGGGCTAGAAAAGGAAAACATTTCTCATGGTATCCTACTTTTTATTGATTTTCTTTAATTGTGTGTTTAATACTAAACAGAAGTGCACCAAAATAAATGCAACTAGTTAATACACCTTTCTCCTGCCAATGGAGACACTTTATATAAAGTCTACCACAGTAAAGCTCACCTCTGACCCATGCTGTTCTATGAATGGAAGTGTAACAACTGATCCTGCATAAAGCTAATAAATGCTCCTAGAGCATGATGGAAAATGCCAGTGTTTACCCAATGTAAATTCTACTTACGTATTTGCAGATAAGATTTTCCCCCAGATGTTGGAAAAGCAAATTAAAGATCTCAGAAACATAAATTTGAAAGAGTTGTTCATTGAAAGAGAGGCTGTTTCTGATTATGCATAGTAAACAACATCATCATGGTAAATATGAAAAAATTCGGTGATTGGAGTCCTGGCTATGATTTTAAAATTAGCTCTAGTCTAGAATTTTTAATAGCTCAGGTCATTTCATTACTACCTTAGCACCATTTATACATGTCCTATTAGATTTTTTCCTGCCTCTCCAGCAATATTCTTTCATGTGTCTTTAATGTATGATATGATTTTATGATATGCCTTTAACTTATGGACACTGACTAATAGATTTTTAGCAGCTTAACTGGTACATGGAGGAGGTACATGGCAAAATTGCCCAACACTATGGCATGATTATCTCATCGTCAGATGGTCAATTTATTTTAAACAATATTGAAAACAAGAAGAATTAACAGTTATGTTATCCTAGTCCCTAAAAAACACAAAAAAGCAATTAAAAAAAGGCCCTCCAAACCAGGCTCTTTTTTGTTGATCCTTAGACAGAATCAGGTTTTACTGGTCAGCTCAGTCACCACTTGGAGTTCATGTCAGGCCATGACCCACATGGGTCTCGTGTGTAGCAGCCCTACTTTTGTATTTACAGTTTTGTTCCCTGTTCTTGTCAGGCTGTAAATGCAGTTCTGCCCAAAAAGGACCTCCCATCAAGCCTGCTATTAAAATACCCCAAAACTTTAGAGCTATATTATCTTAAGCTTCCCGATGTTAATTAAGTGCTGCCTCAAGATGAGGAATGGCAGAGCAGGCAAGCCTGGAGACTGGGATGGGGCATTCCTACCTTTCTGAAACCTGCAAAAATGGAAGGGATTGAATTTCTGCTGCAACAGGGAAGGGCAAGGAATATACTTCATGTTACTGTGCACAATGAAGTCAAGAGCAATCAAACTTAAAAGCCCTTACATGAAAGCACACTACTAAGTCAGTGATGCAGCTTCTTTTACATAACTGTGTTCACAAAAACTGCTCTGAGTCAGGGCAGGCAGTAAGTGGCAGGAGCAAGGTCTTTCCCACCATCTACATACAATCCATGTGTTATTCCCTCTGGTCAAGGTACAGAACAGGACAGTGTCAGACCCCTTGGCAAACACCGGATCAATCACTTTATTACAATCCTCTAGAACACAGGAGAGTTACTGCTGCAACACTCACGGTTTGGTCTGTCAGTGGTGGAAGCACAATTTGTTTTTCTATTTTGTTTAAGACCAACTTCCAGAGCTCTTTCAAAATCCGTTTCAGAACTGTTTTCTCGCAGATTTTTGCCGAGATGCTTAAACTGGAATAAAACAAAACAAAACCAGTCACTGAAACTTGTATTAAGACCTCAGAGGTTCTATATCAGTATATACTCAGATTAATGGCCTTAAGGCTTAGCTTTTCTCTACCAATAAAAATTTCTCAGTAACTTAGCTATTTTGCAATATTACCAGTAAATATTTTCGGTAAAAATTACTTGCAGATTACAAACTCATGTAAATCTCCACTATCTAATTGAATGCTTATTATATAACTGATGTATATTTATTAGAAATGCAGAATGATGATGAGTTATAAAGTTTGATGGATGATAGAATTTAGCACTCCCACACCCTTAAATTAAAGATTTGACATATAATTTGTGTCTTAAAAATAAAAAATGAATGTCTCCCTTATTTTGTATTTCTTCTGGGATCTAAAACTAGGTGCTGACAGCTAATACAAATTCACAGCTACTGCTTGGAAGCATTTATTTCTATATACTGACATGTTTGTGCAATTATGCTATCTGTTACTAACAGTAAAATTACATTTTTGGAGCACCTTTTCCATCTTAACTCTGAAAATGTCTGGCTAGGGAAAATAGGCATGAGGAGCCAAAAGGGTATGTAATTTGTGTCTGTGTGACTGCAGATCTGAAGTGCAGGATCAGTGCCAGGCTGCTTGTTCAATCACTTCCAGTGAAAGGCCACTGGTGTTTCACAAGTACCAGTAATGACATGACCAAGGACAGCAATGTGCTTACAGATGTGCCTGTGCTGCACATGGGCTTGCAGAACCTGCCACTGCTGGAGGATGAGAAGATAAGTTACCCTCACTTTCAGAGGCCAGAGTAAGTCTGCAAGGTCTCTTTAAAAATTTAGGATTTTACCAAGTGAAAAAAAAAAAAGCTGGTGTTTAGGTGGTGACCAGGTTTTTGGGGACACAGAAGTGCATATTAATGCCTATGTCAGTATGGGAATTTATTTTTGTTCTTTTGTTCAGTACAATCTTTTTCATAACACAGCAAGTGGAGGAGAGACTGTACACCAGTTCCTTTGCAATGACTCAAAACATGACAAGACATAGAAAGGCAAGTATGTAGCTCATGTAAAAATTGCTTAGCAGAGGTAAACAGGTTAAGCATGGTATTCTGCACACATGTGAGTGCTGCAAGTATTAAAAATGCTACAGAGTGTTTCTAGGTATCAACAATCCTTCAGGGTAAAACCAAGAATGCCTGACTGTAGCATCCAGTTCCTAATCTGCCACACTTACGTTTTGTCCAGGAAATCCATGAGAGGCCGAAGCACAATCTCAGCATCAATGGCTGCACTGTTCTTGTTGGCTGCTGCATTCCCATTGCCTCTCATTTGGTTCAGTTCATTGCTCATCTGTCTTACACAATCTTCAATAACAAATTGGAAACTATACGATGAAAAATAAAAAAGAATAAGGAAAGAATTCAACATTTATCGTTTTGCATCAGAGTCTCCAGCAAGATTTAAAGCTTTTCTGCAGTGGTGCAAAGTTCATAAATGAAGATACTGTGGTATTTGAACATAACTTTACTAAGAATCATAGCTCATATGACTAATCCATGCAGTGTTCCGATCTTTTCCCTCTTTTCTATTCTGTGATGTTTTTCATAGCCTTGTAGAGGTGCCAAATATTTATTTTCCCAAAGCACCAGATGTATCAGAATCTGTAGGTTAGAGTACGGTTGACTACCAGCTAGATCTGATTTTTGGTGTCAAAGAACAATAGGAACAGTTGACGATTAATAGTTTTTCTCTTGATGGTTAATATGAACCAAGCTTTGATGTTCTTCTTGAGGACAAATAGGAAACTTCTACTGATTTTGCCCCATTTGGCTCAGTTTGACTTCTTATGGGCATCACACAAAGTCAGTGCCATCAGAAGCTTTGTGCACTTCTTTGCAACTAGACAGAGCTAAAGCATTTGGACTGTTTAAAATATCCTTTTCAAAAACCCCTTTTTAAAAGTACTGAAACTTTTTCTCCTGGGAGGAAACTTTTCCACTTCAAAGTGACTGTGAACACATTCTCGGTCCTCAAGTTTGTATTTCAGCTTTTCTGAAAGCTATTCTCTTTCCTAACTGATCTGATTAAGTGTCTGACAGTCTTATAGTGCTATTGATGTGATAGTCTTTGGTCAATATATTACACAATGCAGAACAGCAGTAAATCAGAATCATCAGTTCAGAGGCAGAATGAGTCTCTGCACACATGGTAATTTGGTTTATGGATTGATTTATAATGAAGTGAAATGGTTTAGGATTAGTTTATGAACAGAAATGCCAAACAGAGGCAAAAAATATATCAGGGCTATTAAAGTGAAAAGATAAATGGCAAAGATTAATTTGAGAAAAGTGAAAGAGAATTTACTGTGAGAGAAAAGAAACATTATAATTAGGCAGTAAGCTTTTCCAGTGACATGGCTAATCATAAAAAGAAACTGCAAACCTCCTTGTGAAAAAACTGGAAAACTTGGAAACTTTTCCAAGTACTCTTGGAAGTATACTTACCTACACACATCAAAGCCCTAGACAAAAATTACATGAGGTTGCTGGTGATGCTGCTCATGTACATCCTTGGGACCAGTCCCTCCAACAAGTGCCAAAATAATTCATTGCCTTTCTTGACATTAGCCATCTTTCTAACATTGTTAACCTCACAAATCCAAGAAGTAAACTGACCCATGAGGAATGTTCTAGCTACATGGAGCATATCCTAGATTGAGCTATTCTGGGTTCTCTTTTGCAGAAACCCAGTCAGCTCATTCAGAAAGAAGCCCTGGAAAGAAATAATATTCATGCACTGTCAATGATCCGAGAACCAGGGCCTGGGAGCAAAAATAAAGCAAGACAATACAGCAAACTAAGCACACAGAAAAAAGCAAACACTGTCCACCCAGACAGTTCATTGGTGGATTAAATAAGTAACTACAGATTTTGCTTAATGAACACCACTACAGCACTAATCCCTCTCTCTTAGATTTCTTTCTAATTTGAAGCAAAAGTAACTTACTGCTTCTTATACCAAAGGCACTCCTGGCACAGCACCATACTCATTCAAGACTGCACTCTGACTAATGAAAGATTTTGAGAGTAAGGCTCAGTAGACAATTTTTGCAGAGCCACAGGCAAGCAAATGACGCAGGAAGGCCATTCATGATGACCATTTGAAGCAGGTTAAACACAGGCAGACACCCCTGATTGAAGCAGGCCACTTGGAAAAAGCTGTCAGTCTCAGGAAGTAACATAAACATGGGCAGAGAGAAAAGTTTAACATAGCATCAGGCAAGACCAAACCAGCGATTTTGCTTTCCAAAAAGCAGAACAAAAGTCATCATGTTACAGAGCCTCACCTCTGTAACACATTCATGCCCAGAGATGATGCGCAGTTTTCTTTACAGTGAGGTTAATGTTGCTTGTTTCAGTCTAAACACATACACAGACACAAATGCACACACCACTTCACCAGGGCAGAAGCAAGCCATGCCTTAGGACATCCAAACAACCACCCAGACTTCATCAACGAGGTAGCTTTTTGAGCAGGAATATTTCTCTAAGGTTTGCAGTAAAATGGGTTTGTTACCTTGCAGCATATGTTACACTGAGTTCATCCAGCACATTGCTAAGTTTCACCTGAAGTTCTTTTAGAACAACACTAGCTTCAGGATCCAACTGCAAAGAGATAAATAATGTTATATTTTACTTATACACTAGGTTTCTGTGTTTTCCATTACAATTAATTAATTGGGAATTATGTGTAATGATACACTGCACTATGGAAAACCAAATGTGGAAACACCTGTTGCAACACAGAATTGCTTTAGTAGGCCTAAAAATCCAATTACCATTTAAAGAAAAATATGGGAAATATTTGATTACGATAGTGAAGAATTATATTGTTAGGAATCAAAACTGTGCCATTGAAAAATGACTTCCTATGGGATTGTACAAATAGGGTTGTCAGTCACAAGGATAGAAGTACCATTATTGGGCAAGCAGTGTTCACAAAGCACAGGAAGGGAAGGATACATAAGAAGTTAGTGCTTGTGTTCATAGGACTGCAGATGTTTTTATATTTTTGTTGTTTTTGTACATGTCATCACTGTTGATATTTCTTTTCTTGTGATTTGCATTGAAGATGTTTCCATATTTCCATTAATGCAGTGTAAAAGCAGAACAGGCAGCACTGGAAAAGATGGCTTGAAGACTATCCATGCTGCTTCTACTGCTATAGTATGCAGGAAGGGAACCTACCAAATTCCAGTACTGCTGTTTCTAAAAGCCATTAAGGCATACATAATTCAAGCACAGAGCAACACATTCTGATGCACAGGGAGAACAGCTCCTGTACCTCTGATACAGGTTTTCTGAACACAGGAAAAAAGAAAACGCAGGGGAGAAATATATTTTTTCACTTACAGAGATGAGGATCCATGCATAGATATTTAATCAAAAGGTACCATGTTGATATTGATCAGCAGCTTGTTTATTTGCTATGCATTCTTTTTCAAATTAAAAAACCATAATTTTTTCATCTCCTTGATCTTTAGTATTTAGGAAAAATAGTGACAGCCCATTGGGAGATACGACTGATGATCATCAGGATCAGCAGCTGAATGCGAACCAGTAGCTCGTGTTCCAGGTCTTTCAGTTATCTACCCACAATGTTAAGGAATGATTTGCAATGATAACCCTCAATTTCTGGACTCTATTCTGCAGTAAGGTCAGGTACAGATCTGACAATTTCAAAGGACCTGTGCATTTTGAATATATAATCAGCTCTGTCTCTATTTGCATTTTCCTATCTTTCAACTGCATGAGTAGCATTTAGTGCTTATCCTTCATCTGGTGCTTCAGAGTGCTGTGGTGCAGCAGGTCAGTTCTCATAATCACACTTCAGAGACAAGGGGAAGCTATCACAGCACATTGGATAATTTACATGAGACTACACAGGAATTCTGTAGCAAAGTAAACTCTCAAAATAGATCCAATGATCTGCTGTGTTCTGTCTTAGACCATCCTTTCTCTCCTTTGAGATTATGTGTGGTCTAAAAACATAGAAAATCCAAGATGTTCACTACAATTTTTGGCAAAACCTGGAATAAGTGACAAAGGGGGTTTATCACACATCCTTTAGCAGATACTAAGCACTCTTCTAATCTGACAAGCTCACTTTTTATTATTGCAAGTACTTACTGTGGCTACTTACAGATTTAGTTTTGAATTACTTTGCATTGAGAGTTCTGTTGCTTCTCTATATCTTAGTAGTTTTCCTGGCAGATACACTGTGACAGTTCATAGACTTAAAGTGATTGTTTTCCTTCATATGAAAAGCAGGGATTAAAGAGCTAATTTTATTGCAATGTCTACATTAGTTAATAGAGTTAGAGTTTACTAACAAAGGCAAAGCTTTTTCCAGGAAATGCATTTCACTAGGGAGTTATATTGCCTCCTTTGGTGGGATACATACAAAACACAAATTTAAGACCAGAATATTAACATAACCAGAATATTTAAGACTAGAATATCAACATTTAACAAATATTGAACACATAAGCATTCACACTGAACATGGCACATATCAAGGAAAGCACAAAATACCAGGCAGGCAGAAGACTCAAAATTTCTTAGCAGGTCATGCACAAGCTAGAGAATCACCTTGTTACTGGGCCTACAGAGGTCAATGGAGTTACTTTCTATCAGAGGTTGTTGTGATAACCAGAAAACACAATACATCTGCTAAATTCACCTAGAATTGGACTCGGTCGGGCCAAAATTGGATTAAATACTAATGCCAGATATAATGACACACTATAAAAGGGTGCATGCAAGTGTTAAATGTTTTAGAGGGCTTTGTGCTCACAAATTGCATGAACAAGTTTGTGTGTGCACAGCTGGAGGCATCTGGCAGGACATCCAGCCTTGTGTGGACACGTGCTCATGCTTCTTAATGCGGTGTCAGAGGGAGGAGTGGAGTATAAAGAGGTATGCGGGCTGCCCACCAGGTGCTGGACACCTGGGGATGCTCTCAGGGCTAAGAATATGTTAGCAAGAGTTTTAAATGCCACTGTTCCTTTTGTTTTACTGGAAAATACGGTGATTTGAGTGTGCACTTTTCATTTATTTTAACCTGTGCCTTCTATGTGCTATTGATTGTCCTCGGGCATCACCCAAATGTACCAGAACCATGACCTGCCTTTTTTTTTTTCTAGCTTGCTTTCTTTTTTATAGCTAAGGTGGGAGCCTGAAAGTGAGACAGTAGGCAATGCTGATCAGCATCCAAGATGATGTCATACAGAGATAAACAGATATGAAAATGAAGTATCTCCAGTATTGGGGACTTTTCTTTTTCTTCTCAAGTCTCATCAGCTCCACTGAGTTTGATGAAGAAAGAATAAAAGCCAACAAACTTGCCTGAATTATTTTTCAGGAAAATAAAAGAAAAAAAGCCCTAACTGGGCAGATTATTTTTGGAAAAAAAAAAAAAAAAGATGAGTGTCATTAGTGTACCATATCTGATTTAAGCATCAAAAGAGAAAAGACTGTTTATCCCTTAGTTCTTTGGATTTCATTTCCAGTTCATGTGTGGGCTAGTCTTAAAAACATTCACAGGTTGCTTAGGTATCAAAACTGTAATTTTTTAAGGAGCAAACTGAATGTGTAAATCATACTTGTCTACCAATTCTAAATTTGCTTGGCTTTCTTAGAGTCATATTTCAGTTATTTTACCACCTTCTTAAATAATTGAGTTAATTTTTACTCACAGTAGAATATACTCATAAATTTGTTGGCACATTTCATGAGATCTGTTAATTATGGATTATTAAACAGACAATTAGAACTTTGATGTTTTCTGAGTGCTACACGAAAACAGAGAATATATTTGCTAAACAGCTGAAAAATAAGAAATACTTGAGCATCACTGTTTCCAAATGCTGCCTGTCTAGAACCGTGACTATTTTTACACATACAAGCCTTGGAAAAGAGTTAAGAATCTGATGAATTTGGCTGCTTTCAACATAACGTGTTAGATTGAGGCATTCCCTGCTGTAATTTCATGTGTGCTAGTAGGGACATAATCTTGTTAACTGCAAATTTGGTAGTGTTTCAGTAGGAAACCACAGAGATGCAAATTACTTTTGCATGCGTTAAATGGAACCCCTCTAACCTGAATTCAACTATTTATCTGCAATTTCACAGGTTTAACTGCTTATAGTTTCCTAATGCAGTTAATTCTCTTCAGAAAGTAGTTTTACATATTGTATGTGCATCTAGGAAGGATACAGGTATTTATCAGATCCATCACTTCAGTGATTCCTTTTGTCTTTGATACACATCATCCTTCCTCCATCCCCACCCAGCTCTCCAGGGACAGTGAGATGTTTGGTTGCTGCTGCTCTAACTACACTTATGAGCACTTGGGCCTCTGATTTTACAGATTTAAAGACGGACACTTCAGAACTATCCTGGCCCTCTGTCATCCCATTAAATTCTATAAGGCCACATATGGATTCCTATTGGAATTCCTAAGCTTTACACATAAAGTGGGAACTGAACTTATCAAAGTGGAAATATGATTTATCTACAGTCATTATAATACTGTCCTACATAAAGATTTACACCTTTTTTTTTGATCCTAATTGCTGTAACTCATTTCTGCCATGTTCTACCATCTGACGAAAAGCAACACAAACATTAACTTTTTTTCTTTCTCTTTTATCAGCTTCCAACATGTCAGACATGCAAAAAGTACTTAGTGTAAATGTATGTATTCCTTTTGGATGAAACAAACAGGAGCTAAACCAAAATTTTACGACTATGAACCTGTTCTCATATTTTTAGACTTGATTTAAAAAAACCCAAACAAACAGTGGGTTGAATCCCACTTTACTACTCTTTATTATGGCAGACTGTTCTCATTGACATAATTTTTAAGTACCCTTTCTGCTTTGCTGCAGTAGAAAAGGATAGTTATAAAGAAACTCATATTGTTCAGACTATTTTATTTTAATGGTGGGGATGCTGAGAAACCAGTTTTTTCTCTATTTATAGAGCTCCCTGCCCTGCATTATGCAATAAGCCTACCCTGAACATAGGGACTGCTGCTTGATTGTGGCTGGTTCGACTGCACAGTTTGAAAGACATACTGCTCACAGTATGACACTGAGGAGATTAACAGCATTTAATTTTTCTTAGAATTAGTTTTGCTTCAACTGAAATAGGTCTCATTATTCTGCTGAAAATCATCTGACTTTTATGCCCTCCACAAGTAAAATATTAAACTATTTTTTCCCTGCAAGGAAACTGCTTACAGATTTTATTGCTGGCTTTGTTTCTTATAAGTACCAGTCCAATAAGCCAAATTGGCCATTAGCAGTTGTGCTTTTGGAATAGCTAGGGGAATTAATATTCTAACATGAGGACAAACATTTTAGGGGCACTTCCATATGGGTGACAAAAAACTGAACGTGAATGTACTTTTCCTCAAGAAATTGCCCTAAGGACAAACAAACAAAAGTGTGAATATATTTTTTAGGTCTTTTTTCTTAGACCGTGAATCAGAGATGCACTTAAGGTACCTAACAAAGGGATAATAGAAAAATATATCCAAATTCCCTGTGAGGGTTGTATGTTGCACCACATTTGTAGGAAATGTTGCTTTGATACTCTAACAACCTTCATAATTCATCCTCATTAACATCAAAAGGAAAGCAAAAAGGAATGAGAAGTGATGAGAGATTTCAAAAGAAAACTGCAATGAAAAAGTCCTCATTATTTTTTGTACTATTATTTTTTATTATATAAGGTGTTGGGGGCAAAAGACTTAATATTTTCTTGAGGAAAATGGAACATTTTGGAGAATCAAGAAAGTATTCTGATTTGAAATCAATTTGATAGAAATAAAGTGCTACTCAGCTTTCCACTGCCCTTGTCTGTGTCAGGATTTATGGACAATTAGCTGTTTTTATGAATCATGGCGTTCAAATGTGGGATTGGATCCAAGACCTAATACAAAAGTACTTTGCACAGAACAGAAGAGCACAGAAGACAAGTTTATTTGTAATATTTAAAGAGTGAAAGAGGATTAAGAGGAACCACAAAACCAGCCATGTCTGGATGATAAATACATATTCTCCAAGTTTGGTAAGACGTTTTCAATGACAGCAGGGCTGCAGAAGTTTATTTCATGTCCTCTGGAGCCATGGCAGCTTCAAGAAGCTCTTACTGGCTCAGCAGAACCTCCTCACCATGGAGTTAATCTGTAGGTTTATCTGGAGGCTGCAGTTCACTGCATGACACAGGGGACTCTCTCACCTCTGAGTGCCCCACTATGGATGTGGGAATATGAAATGCTGTGTTTTCCAGTTCTCTCTGTAATGTGCCCACATTAGATCAAAGTTTTGGGAACTTTATCAAACTACAGTCTCAATGAGACAGAGCTGATGTATCTAACTTCTTTTTTAAAGCCAGCTACTGTTACTAAGGGTAGTACGTTCATGGTCTAAACATTGCTTCTCAACAAGATGACAGAATTTTTTCCATGGCTGGAAAATACGTTAATGTCTTCATTATGTTTCAGAACGATCAAAGACTACAGTCAGCAAAGTGCTGAAGCACATGTTTATGTCCTTTTACTCGTGACAGGACTTCAGGCACTTTTAAGCCTTCTGAAATAAAAAAGGAGACAAAACTAAGCATGTTCTGGATTGTTGAGTAGCAGCTCTTGGTGAAATGGTGTCTTGAAAACAAGCAGGCCCTCAGATACTGAAAAGTGCACTTAAAATGTTTTATAGAATTTTTTAAAGCTTTGAAAGACTTTACACTATCTGCCTAGTAAAACTTTCCAATTTAGAGTGTCAAATGAATGCCCAAGCATAGCTCTTTTTGATTTTAGATCATAGGGAATTACACAAATGGAAATAAGTAGAAAATGTGACTGTTCTTAGCCTTAGAAAATAACGGTCAGGAATAATAAAAGATGCTTACTATCACAAACCTCATAAGAGAATCTCTCTCCTTCTTTCTTCTGCTCAGTGGATTGCAAGTCAAAGGCATTAGACAAAGACATGACACATTACAGACAAAACGTACCAATACATAAAAAGCAAAGTATAGTCCAGTACAAACATTAAAATAAAGCTGGCACTACAGATTGCAACACAGAACACCCAGTGCTGACTGAACATTACAGATCATTAGCATTTTTCTGTGAAATAGAGGTAGGTCTTTCTACTGTTGTCAGGATGTTAAATAGGTCTTGGAGACTTTTTTTCTTAACATTTTGATTTTCTTTGCAAGTAAAAGTGAAACCTGTTACTAGGTTGCAAACATGGTGCTAATGATCTCTAAGGAACTTTGAATGAACAAAGAAACAAATATGGCTCACCTCCTTTCCTCCCATGGACTCAAACATCTTCTCAAGCTGGACTCTTAATTGTTGAATGTTGTTCATCAAGATACAGGCCTACAAAGAGAGCATCAAATGTGAGGTTGTGCATGACCAACTCTTCAGCAGCCCTGAATTTGTAGAATTACAGAATCATTAAGGTCAGAAAAGCTCTCTCAGATCATCATTCATGCAACTAGGTTTTTCAGAGGAGATCCCCAAACAGTGCTGCCTTTCCTTTTTTTTTAATTGACCATCAGACCCCAGTATTTCACATCCTGAGCTGTACATCCCAGGTAGTTGCTACTTCTACTTAGTACAGTTACATCTGGGGATTAATGCAAGTGGCACATCATCATCTCTTGGAGAGCAGAGGCAACAATGATCAAAGTGCTTTGGAGTGACAATAAGAGGGATGAAAGGGATTGTCAGATTGCTTTCTAGACCCAGCCTTCGCAGAAAACTGACAGCACCATAACCTGGGTAATGGCTGATGCTTAAGTATTTGAATAAATCAACAGGCAGATCTGCTAAGAACAGAATATTTCAGAAATATGCAGTTTTGCATTACTTTTTTGCATTACTTGAAAAGTTGGTGAATTAGGCAACAGAATTCTGTAATCTCTAGAAATGTTGCTTTTTAAGCACATTTTCTTAAGGCAGAACACAGAGCCAACGAGTAAAAGAGAGTGATTTCTGTATAAATATAAGGTGAAAAATAAAATTAATAAAATTAAGGAGCTTGTTAAAAAAATTGTGGAAGAAAGAATCTATTAGTAGAATTTTGTGTACTCAGATGACCCTATATGCTGGTTTGTTATGTTGCAGGAAAAGCAATATGACAATACTTGCTAAAAGAGCTCTGGCTGGCCAAGGCCAGTGTCTTTTAATGCATGTCTGGCTTAATTTAGGCACTGAAGTAGTGCATATACATAAATAAAACAAAACACATATTTTTTTTTTCAGACAACAAGAAGGTGATGGAAGATAACATTTGTACCTTTCTAGTTAATAACATGTTCCAATGTACTGCTGAAACATGGTGGGAATCAATAACTTGATTTAGCTTTAATTATTAATACATTACTCTCAAAGGCATTTAGTATCAGAGTCTTTCTCAACTAAAGGGAAAAAAAGGAAATTTAACTTCTTAATACTTAGATTACTGCTTCCCAGGAAAGCATGCTGTGTGTGCTCCTGCACAAGGCTGCTGGCTTTGTATAGCAGTTGAAATGTTACCTCTCTGCCTTTCTCTTCTTATATTTGTCTATATACCTTCTATTAATTCACAATCATGTAAGACTGTGCCCTCCTTTCCTGTGCTATCTCCTCTCTTCTAACAAATGCATTATTCTGGAAATTACCTGCAATATCACAAGTCAATAATTATAATTTCTGATGGGGGCATAAGTAGCTGAGTATGACACCTTGGTCCTTTTGTTCCAAACAAATGCAAATGCCTTTGGTAATGTACTGAAGCTACAATTGAAATGCTTCATGCTGAAGCAGTTTTCAAAGTTTCCTTTGAGGCTGGCTCAGCTGGCTCTTTCAGAGCCTAAGCCTAACTTGGCTCACTGAAAAATTTGCTATTGTTGTCAGTAAAGAACATTACTTAAAAACATTCTCTTCATATTTATCATCTTGCCCTTCAGAACAGCCTTTGCAGGAGTTTACAGGAATCAGACAGCCAGATGCAACAACACGTAAAAGTGAGTGGCAATTACAATACGTAAACCCGGGTTTGTTTGTAAATGCTGACAGGAGGTGGAAGATAAGATACATAGCTTTATGAAAAGCATTTTCAATGTGCTTTTTTTTGAACACTTTCTGTGTACATTTTTTAGTGTTTGATAAAATTACTAAAAGTATTGGTTTGAAAAAGAATGCCAAATTCTAATTTTAATAATAAAAATTATTTGTTTAAATGTCTTCTATCTAATCTAGTGCAGGAGATGGACATTTATTGTGGCTGAAATTAACAGAGCAAATGGTCTTTTATTAAGCTAAAAGCTATGTATTTCAATAGGGTAACTTCTGTTAAAAAAAAGTTATGTTCCTCAAGGACATTTGATATAATACTTTATACCTGCTCTAGTGGAAGGTGTCTCTGCTCATGGCAAGGGGGGTTGAACGTACATGATCTTTAAGGTCCTTTTCAACCCAAACCATTCTATGATACTGTGATACTATAAGGAGATTAATTCCATCTAAATCCTTAATAAAGATGGGCATATGAGGATGACTTCAGAAATCCCACTGGACAGGCCAAAAGACTACACAAACTACATCACACTACCTGATGATTCAAAACTGTATCAAAACTCATTCATTCTAGAAACCAGTAAGCTTTATTTAATATTAGCACTAAAGTTGTAAGAACCACCAATAATTGATATTGAGCTGCAATAGATGTCTTTCTGAATTCTATTATTGCATATTTTGGAGAGCTCTAGATCATCACACTTCCTCTCAATACAGAGAGCATGTATGGGAAGGGACAGGTACGCACGGATGGGACAGGTGAGATCTGTGATGGGCTGGGTAAGGGCTGTACCATGAAAGGTGCACAGAGTGAGGATGGGGCTGCAGTTATTTATCTGACTGTAGATTGTTACAGCTGTACAACACACCACTAAATACAGCAGTCATAGTGCTAAAGGTTGCCAGTTGTGGGAGTACCAGCCTTGACTGAATATCAGTGATACTGAAAAGTCAGTTTACAAGAATAATTTTCCTAGGTCTTGTGAAGGTATTGATAATGCCTCCATCTGCTCAACCACATCTTTAGTGTCCACATCTCATTTAATTCTGAGTCCATGGCAATCTGGTCCTACATTAGGGACTTTCTTGTAAGCAGTGAGGCACCAAAACAGCATGTGATTCTTTTTCTCACTGCTGCATGGGTAAAGCACAGTGGTAGCAGCAGCAAAGTCTGCACACATTCCCTGCACAGGGAACGATGATCTTATAAACTCTCCAAGGTATAAACTGATAAGAGAGAGGCAAGCCAGTGCAAAATGAAAAACAAAAAGGTTTTCTTCTATTTGGGAAACAAGATGAAGATACATTCACCATATTCACCATTGCATAGGGCTGATGTGTTTGGATGTGTTTGTGGTCATCTTTTTTTTTTTAAACTTTGATACTGAAATTATTAACTAGGATTTTTAACTAATGTTGTTTATTCCATTGGACATGTCAATGTAAGCAGCTATGAAAATATGCTGATCTCCCTCCATTCATGCCTTTTCGCATATAAAGAAGTGATCACATTTTCAAAAAGTACAGTAAGTCATTTAAAGGTAATTTCTGAGGCAGAAAAAAACACAGCTTCTTACCACGTTTTCTTTATCACAATACGAGCTGAAGTAACTTGAAATAATTGCAGCATACTGAAGAAGCACTTTGTTGATAGTCTAGAAGAGGAGAAGAATCTTTTAAATGGTAAATTTCATAATGTAAAACAAAAATTAAAAAAAAGGTTTATATAAATGATAGATTTTACAGATACTTACACATTTAGTATATAGTATTATTTAGATATTATATAAACAATACTGTAAACACATTTTCAAATGCCTGCACAGCAGATGGTGGGTTGTTCTTAGTGCAATGTAATCTTCAATAACAGAGATAGTTTAATTTTAGCTGTACTGTTTTTGAGAAGCATTGAGAGCTCTACTCCTTGCAATGTTCTTCATAGTTCTTGGAACAGTAGCAAGCTCAAAAAATCCTCTAGGGTGATAATACATAGATTAGAAATATAATGGAAAAAATAAGATAAAAGCAGCACTGCTCAAGGCCTGGCAATATAAGTTACCTTACAATAATCATGTAAACAGGAACTTCGTTTGCAAATGGGAATTGTTGCAATGAAAGAACAGGATTAAATATAAATGTGAACTTTTTAAAGTCAGCAGGACTATAATGGACATCTAGAGCTTGTGAGAAAATGTTACTATACAAATAGAAAGCTGCCCTAAGAGTTGAGTTTATCAAACAGCAGGTAAAAAAACCCCTCACACCTCAAGGCTTCAACCAGAAGTACTTTATTGCCACACCTTGAATTTTTACTTCAGTTGCACTCACTAATTAGCTAATTGCATTACACTGAATTTCTCCATTAATGAAATTGTAATCAGTGCTTAGCAAGGTAATAATTGACTATATAACACATATGTACATGTACATATATGTATAAAATATATAAATATGAAATCTCAGAGAGGACAGAACTACTCAAACTGGTAAATCATTTTGACAAAGTAGATGAAAACCAGCCTTAGGCCACTGACAGCCTGTCTTTCTGAGGATCCCACTCAGACAGAAAACATTGATTCTAAAAAACATTGGGATCACTTAGCTTTTAAGTACATGACAACACAATGTCATTCTCTCTGAAGCTCAGTCGAGACACATTGATTTTAATTTACCTTTGCAAATCTTCTCATTAAATGAGATAGTGCTTCTGGATTAGGACACTCCAGTTTCCTAATAATCTCAAAGCTTTGATTGAGCTGTGTGAAGACATCAACCACAGAACATGAGAAGAGGGCATGATCTGATGTTTGCTGAAACTGGAAAGAAACATTCAAATGAGTTAATATTTGTTCAGAGATCAAAAATGTATTAACTGATTCTTACACTTGAAATTCTTCCTAGAGTCACAAAAAGTAATAAAGAAAAAAATAATTTAAAAAAGTCTCACTGCTAATACTGAGAAATGTGTCTTTTCATTGTTTCTGATACTTTCAAACCTATTAAAAATAAAACCAAAATTCTCCTTCATGACCTCATTATCACATCATAGGTCAGTAAAACCATAGATTAAAGTCTGTGGGGATTTAGACAGAGAGGCTTAGAGGAGGAACTTGTCTATAGGGTTATCTTCCAAAAGCTGTTAACTTGGGAGGTCTAACAAGAATACTGTGAGACCAAATGATCTTGTGGTTTTGCAATACTAAATCACTGTCTTAATACTTTATTTATTCTTTTATTTTAAAAGTAAAGGCTCACCCCATCTTTTTTGTCTCTTTCTAGTGCTCCATGAAGAAATTCCATTGAGACATCTTCATTTTCATCCAGCCACTGAATGACAAATGGTTCAAACCACCTGAAAATTAAAAGTAATTTTGTAAAGTAGGTATGTTGCATAAAGATCCTGAGAGGAGAGATGTCATACTACCCAGCCATTTGGCATCTCATGTCTTCATATCCATTCTTATTGCTAAAAAGCCTAACAACCCTGGAAAAATTTTTGTCATCAAAGATGCTGTGGCTGCCAAAAGGTTTTTTGGGCTTCAGTTTCGTAATACTGGTGTGCCTTAGTGATGTAAAATTAGCAGCTAATTCTCTACCACATGGAAGGCACCTGTCTTGTCAATACTGGCTTTCTGTTAACATTAAATAACTTGCATAAAACTCTGTTTTAGTAAAACATCAGCTGTGTTTTATTTTTCTATAGTTTATTTAAACAAATTAATGTAATAAGAGGCCTCAAACCATCTCAGTAAATCAGCACACTTGCAGAAGAACAGGGAATGAGATTAAGGATGGCTCACATAAAATGACAGGACTGAATGCATCTACTGCAGGGATAGAGGTGAAAATGAAACCAGCAGCTGAATATCAACCCAATGCACTAAGAATCATTTCAGTAGTGTATCCCATTAGCACTGTATCTTCATCCAGATTTGGGTATGAAACAAATGCAGGGGCCTATAACAGTGCTGTTGCTCCCACATCTCATACCTTCCTCAGACATTTTATGACCAAAATATTTTGTCATTTATGAAGACCTGCAGTTACAAAAGTTGTATAAAGTCTATGAAACAGCTGATTGCACATTTAACACCTGGGCTACTTCACTTGATAGAATGAAGAATTAAAGAGGAGAAAGTCCAAAAAGTAGAGTTGTCAGTGCTACACACCTTAAGATCTTGCACAAACCTGAGCATAAATATTTGACCAAAATAAACCTTGTGCCAAGGCCAAACTCATGGAAGGGTTCCTGATCCAGCACTTACAGAGAGTATTCAGGCACTGCATCCTTGAAAGCAGAGAGTTCTCGCACATATTCATTATAAAACCATTTCACTTTGAAGTGCAAATTCATATAATCTGTGCTTTTGCATAACCGCTGCTTTTCATGTTCTGTAAGAGAAGGAGTAGAAAAAAAGCACTTAATTACATTCTAAGAGTAAATAACATTCTTGTGCCTCCATGCACTGGTGACATAATAATACAGGGCTTGCATTTTAAAGCATAATTGGCTTGATTTTTTTACAGTTAGTAGTACCCACTGTTACAATTTCCAGGTTCAGGAAAAACAAACCAAATCAAAGACCAGACCACAAATTAGGCTTTTTACCTCTCTCCACTGCAACGAGAAACAACCCCCAAATTTGCTGACTTCCCATTCTTTAGATTCTTTGACTGTTACAAAATGGTTAAGAAGCTGTTGGGTGTCAAGTGAGAAAAGACAACCATAGGTTGTGTAGTAGCCACATGAAATAAGAGTTGTAAACGCCACTCCTGTATGAATCTGTAAAACCTGCATTGGCAGACAGACTGCATTTATCAGAGCTAAGAAAAACAAAGAGGAGACAATTCCACAGTCCTACACCCATCTGATTTATGGCACAAGTAGAAAAGCTGGCTTAATAAAATGTTTTTGAAGTTTCTCAAATGGCCTTCAGCTTTTCACTGTCCTCCTGTTTTCAACATACTGGATATGCAGATGGTCATGGGCGGCAGGGGCCACCTGTAACCACTTCCTGTGTTTTTAAAGTCTGATTTAATGTGTTTGGAACAAATGTCCATCTTTTTGCCAGGATTATGACCCTAATTTTAGCTTATACACTGTGCTCTGTAGCCTCTACCCAGCTGCTTCACACCTGGACTATCCATCCCTTTGCTCCATTAGTAACAGGCACTTTATCCTTCCTCAAATCTTTCATTTCCTTCTCCCAGTGCATGAAGTCATGGATCCACAAATCTTGGGCAGAATAATCATACCTTTACTTACTGCTCACAACTTCCTAAAATCTCCACAGATCTCATCTGTTTGAGGTGTCATATCACTTGCACATTCTTCCCTAAGTAAAAGGCTAATTTCTTTTCCCAGGTCCCTTAAAAAATGACCTGATACAGATGCTTAGCAGGTGTGATGTTCTTGTGTAAATAGTATGTATTAAGAACTTATCTTTTTCAAACCTCCTCTTTGCCACTTACTTCTGCTTGCTTTGCAGCACAGTATTACACAAATTTTTCATATATATTTGGATGTGAACCTAATTTACTGTAACAGCAGGAGCATCCTATCCTCTGTCACACAACTGAATATACCATTTGATTCTCTGTCAGTGCAAATGCACTTTGAATTACACATTCTGTGCTTTTCAGATCTGACCAGGCACATTAAAAAGAAATTTTTAGTTTTATTATTATGCCAAATCAGCACTACAGTAATATCACCATGGCATATAAGGAGTGTTGCAGAAGCATATTATTATGCAATGAATTACTAAGTTTTGTGCAAATCAGCTTACCAAGTGGCCCTGTGGGCTCTTATTGCCTTTTTAGCATTGTGGTAGCATTTTCACCTTCACTGCCTTTTCATCACACTCAAGAAAAATCAGTAAATCAGTTTCTGTCTAAATATTGCATTTATTCATCTTCATGCTATTTGAGAGTACTACAAATTCTACCCAGTATAATATCATTAGTTACTAGCCTTAAACAGAACCACAGAGAGAAGAGAAAGGGATGTGCCTGCTCTCATAGTTCATGCTTTCTACAGACCTGAGGCATCTTTTTTTGTTTGTTTCTAGGTAGGAATTTTTCTACAGCTTATTATTGTAGAAAGCTAAATGAGCAAATGTTTGCTCAATAAGAGGTGGTTCTTACAAGGTAGACCAGCCTTTCACTGAGAACAATTATCTTATTGCTGTAACATTCCCTGCACATCTACTGCTTAAGTCAATATTAAAAATCTGACTTGCATTGCATCCAAAAAGAGTGGAATTTCTGAAATGAATAGCATTTTTTTTCATTCAAGCATTGTGTGAATGGGTTGGTAGATTATACAATGTAACTTAAGAATGTTTGCTATGGTATCACAATCCAAGCAAATATTTATTTCAATTTTAAAAATGAGCTGTCACTAATGGGCAAACTTGTCCAGGAGGGTACAACTTATACACCACCATTCATTGATATTTTCTTTTTTAAGTTAAAATTTATAAAACATTAGAAATGAGCACAAAAGTCTTTCATGAATAATTGAGCTTTTTTCTCCAGGCTGTTATACCTTGTATGGAATATTTAAAGAGTCTCCTAGGATATTACTTGTGAAAAAATGCATCCTCAATTCCCAATATTAATGAATGAGAACATCAGCAAACACTTCATATGACCTACAAAGTCACTTAGTACCCATGCATATTACCTCTTCAGCTTATATGAATCAAAGAACAGAGAAAAAGGCTCCTGTATGAGTCAGCCCATGACAATTCTAACTGGAAAATGAATGGGTTTATCCACAGTAACCATGGATTTTGGTTACAAAACAGCAACATCACTGTAGGTGTTCTGAATTTAGGTTAGGACCAATGGTTTGCTTTCTTAATTTCTAAAAAATTGGCACAAGTTAATGCAAATTAACACCAGAGGATACACCTATGCATTTTGAAGATCTGTGTCTTTTTTCCTGGAAGGAAAGCTGGTGCCATGTTTTCCTATACAGATATGCCAATTTTGGACTTTCTGGAAGACAGATTTAGTAGCTGCACCATACAACTTTTTTAAAAAAAGCCCACTCTTGCTTTGCAAAATTATTATAACACTGAGTCAGTCAGTCTGGAAGTAAAGCTGCCAATTGTGTGCAAATGTGCCTGGGAGAGATGGTAACAGAAATACCTGAACTTTCTCATAATCGATTCTAGATAATGAAATCTCAGTATAGCAAACCTAATGTTATTAATCTTCTTTATTTTATGCTGCTCCTTTTATGAGACATTCCTTGTACTGCAGCACATTTTTATAAGCATCTATTAATCTACTGAGCTCCATTAAGAGGGCATTTTCAGTTCCCATTAGGGATACTGGCATATCCTATGTTACTGTATCATGCATCAGTGAAAAAAACACTGGTAAGATTTCTGCAAACTGTAACATCTGTAAACTTCAGTCTGTGTGAAAGGGGCACTTTAGCTGCTTTTATGCATTGCAGTTCCAGTAAGTGTGATTTTTTTACAGCATTGTGGGGAGGGTTCCATATCTCCTTGTGGGTAATGCTCCAATGCACACGTGCTTTCCTCAGGCTTGCAGTAACAGGCATTGGAACTGCAACCACGAGGAAAACTGTAGAGAGTTGTTCCATCTCCATGGTACAAATTACAGTGACAGTAACACCTTTAAGAAGACTTCCAGTAAGCAACAGTGCTGGGGAAAAAAAATAAATCCGTTCAGGTGTTATTTGTATAACCAAGAAAGAAGAGAGGGTTTTGGTTTTTTTTTTTAAAGGTTGTTACATGGAATCCATTAATATATACAAATATATTTGGTGTGTGGTGATATCAGCTACAGACCTGGTGACGCTGTATTTGCAAATAATCTAATTGTAGGCACCTGTTCTTTTAGAGAAAAATCTATGAAGAGACATAACAGGAAGGACTGTATCCCAAGGTACTTTCCTCACAGGCCTGTGACCAAGCAACAGTACTTTGGAATCATGTTTGGTTTCTTGCTCATTTTCCCAGCAATTGATAAAGAAAGCTGAGAAGATTTTCTCAAAGCTACAAATAAAAGTCATAATGATAACTTATTAAGCAGAAGTAACTACATGACACTAAAGACATAATGTCATTTAACAAACTGGAATACAATTTTGTTCATACAGAATTATTTTTTCTTTTTAACCTTGAGGTAATAACATCACTCTGAGTTTCCATGTGATTTTTGATATGTATTAGTTGCTAAAAAAGGAAAACAGGGTAATCCAACAACCATCATAAAAGATGAACATGTTAAATATTCAGATAATCAATTTGATATTTTGTTCAACTCTGATTTTTCCTTATTTGGGTACAAAAACTCAGGTTTTTTTTTTTAACAGCAGTTTCTTAGCCACTGTTTTCTGTAACAATGTACAGTTAAACTGCTCAAAGGATTCTAATGAGATGCTTTTAAAGTATATTTCAAATCTTTATGAAGAAGAACAACAAAGAAATTAGTCTTTAAAAAAATGAACAAATTGACCAGATACAAATAAATATATATATATCTAACAAAAAAGTTTTTCCAGTTTTCAGGTTTTATAGATAATGTTGCAGGGATTAATAACTACTACAAAGAATATTGATGTACAGCAAATTAATTATATCACAACCAGTTGGTTTGACTGCCATACATACTATTGCCCTACAGTTTATTAAAACAGAAATGATTGAAACTAAGCATATGGGAATTGTGTTTGGATTAACCGCAAATTTTCACATCAAAACTCAGCTGTTATTTTCAGCCATTGCAACATAATTCCATACTATTTGCAATAATTACTTATGAATTGTTTAGGGATTACCAGCTGCATATTTTATCTATTTATTTCAGAACTGTTGTTTCAGAAAACCCGTGATTTCCAAACTTTCAGTCGTATAATTGGGAGGTGTATGTGTGACACAAACTGAGTATGGCTAGAGGAGAAAAGCTCCTATAAGCCATGATATTGATTGAGAATGAATTGTTATCCCTCCCTCTGCATCACTGTGGGAACATCACACCTGTATGATACTCACATGTTTTGGATAAAAGTAGAAGTTAATGTTTAGTGTACCTGATCCCAATGCATCTTCCCTACAGTGCTATACCACTGCCTTATTAAATGTGAGTATTGTGCTTGCAGTGCTCTTGACTTAATCCCTGTACCACTGAAATAAGCTTAAAGGCCCTGTTTGCACATAACATAGTGGATCAGGGCACAATGAAGAAAAATGTAAACTCAAAGTTCCTAACTGATTTAGAAGAAGGAAACATTACATTGAACTAGACATTCCAGGATTCTTCTACTTTGCTAAAGGCAGTAGAAGTCTCTGGTTATTAACTGAAATACAGAGTAGAACACAACTAATTGACAATTATGTATAATTTACATT